CCCCCTCTATCCCTTCCCGCCCCCAGCTGCGGAAGCCACATTCTCAGTCTAGGGAGTTTGGTACACATATCCCATCTGCCCCCACGCAGACCCACCCTCGGTCTCCGCCGTCCCAGGCGGTGGTGCTCGCCGCCCGTGGGACAGGAGGCCGTGCTGGCGTGCGAGGCGTCCGGGGTGCCGCCGCCCCGGCTCATCTGGTATCGAGGTACGTGGGGTGGGGAGAGGGCCCCGGGGGATCCGATTTCCAGGACAGTCACTGGGGAGGGGCCACTCCGAACGGGGTGTCTGGGGAGAAATGGCCCATTTCAGCAGCCCTCGCCCCCCACCCACAGTCCACGCAGCTGATGCAGGGCGGCTCGGGAGTGAGGAGCAGGTTTGGTTCCGGCTCCCTGGGCGCCCGTGGGTGGGGGGCTTGGCATCTCTGAGCTGGCTCCCTGTCGGGGAAACGGGAAACCCCAGATGGTTGTGAGGATGAGACGAGTCCACGCAAGCAAAGTGTCTAGAACGAGCCGGCGCTCGGCTCCTAGAGATGGTGGCAGCGGTGACGGGTTGGCCTGGGAGACGGAGGAGCAGCCACGACTGTTCCGAGGCTCTTGGGGTTCGCGGGCGTGGAGCGTGTCCTCGGTGCTGGACGCCCAGCTGGACGTTGGATGGGCAGGAGCTGTTCTGCGCACCCACCGGCGGGCGTGGGTGCGGGGCTGCTGCCTCGGACACTGGGCTCCTGCTCCGGTGTCAGCCAGAGCCCCGTGGCGCCCCCACCTGGACACGCTCCATCCTGTGCAGCCCCTGTCTGCACCGGGGCTTTGAGAGAGGCAGGGATGAACTCAGACCACCGCCGGCGCGTGAGCTCAGAGTGTGAGCATCCTGTCCCAGGGCCCCAGCCGGCGCGTGAGCTCAGAGTGTGAGCATCCTGTCCCAGGGCCCCAGCCGGTGGGGGCAGAGGCCTCGGGACCCCTGATGTTCCCGCCGAGAGCCCTCCCAGCCCCTCCCAGCCCCGCCCTGAGCCGCTTTAAAAGGGGCTCTCTCAGTGGGATGTTGTTCACCCTTAAAAAGGGATGAAGTTCAAGTGTGTGACGATGTGAGTGTATTTAACCCCACAGACGTGTGCACATAACCGTGGTGAAGATGGTGAATTTTGTTCTGTGTTTTTTTACCACAGCTTTTTAAATTTGTAAAAAAGAACCAGAAAAAGACAGAAAAAAAAGAAAAAAGAATGACATTCTGATACAACATGGATGGTCGTTGAAAACCTTATGCTAAGTGAAATAAGCCAGAGACGGAAGGGCACATATTACCTGATTCCACTTACATGACATCCCTAGGACATGCTCCTCCATAGAGACAGAGTAGAAAGGTGGTCGCGGGGGGGGGGGGGCGGGGGCGTGAAGTGGGGAATTCGTGTTTAAGGGGCACAGTTTTGGTTTTGGAAGATGAAGGAGTTTTGTGGGTGGACGTGGTGATGGGCACACGACACTGGGAATGCGCTTCATGCCGCGGATTGGACACTGAACGTGCTTACGATGGCAAAAATGTGTGTGATGTGTGTTTGACCACAAGTGAAAAACTAAATGACACGTTAAAAGGGGTTCAGAATCAGGGAGTCTGTCAGCCAGCCGCCTGGAGGAGAAATAACGGGGGGCCTCAGGGTGGATGTCTGGGGCGGCCTCAGAGAGGCAGGCATGGGGGGGGGGTGGTCATCTCGGGGTGACCAGGCCCCTCCCAGAGCTGATCCAAGCCTCAGTCTGGACCCGGGGCAGAGGGTGGGGACCCAGTAGGGAGGCCCAGGCAAGGAGTTTTTGGGTGAAGAGCCTGTTACATGGAGGGAGACAGGCTGGGCCTCACTCCTGCTCCACAGAGGGGCTCGGCGGACTGACTGAGTGATGCTGACTTTAAAAGGTTTAATTGCGGTAAGAGACACAGGGAGAATTTGCCATCTTCACCATGTTTAGGTGCACAGTCCAGTGGCATCAGGGACACCCCCACCGTCGTACAACCGTCACCACCATCCGTCTCCAGAACTCTTCCTCTGGCAAAACCACAACTCTGTCCCCAGAGGCCCCAGCCTGTGCGTGGCAGGAGCCTGGGGTCAGGGAGGCTGCGCCCCAGCCCCCCACGGCGACCGCAGGCCGGGCCGTGCCTGATGCGTTCTCCTCTTTGGTCCAGAGGGTCTCGAGATGATCCTGGCCCCCGAGGACTCGAGCTCGGGGGTGCTGCGGATCCCGGTGGCTCGGGAGAGGGATGCTGGCGTCTACACCTGCCGAGCCGTCAACGAGTTGGGCGCCGCCTCTGCGGAAATCCGGCTGGAGGTTGGACGTGAGTGTTCGCCTGCCCCCGCCTGCCCACCCGCCCCTCTACCCCACCGCCGAGCGGGAGGAGAGAACCCCTGCAGGTAGCCGGCCAGTGCGGAGTCTCGAACACTTGGGGACAGGGAGGTCCGAGGGAGATGGTGTATGCATTACCTCTTCTTTTTCCTTTTATTTTTTTAAATTGATTTCGGAGAGGAAGGGAGAGGGAGGGAGAGAGATAGAAACATCAGTAATGAGAGAGAATCATTGATCGGCTGCCTCCTGCACGCCCCCTATTGGGCATGTACCCAGGCATGGACCCTTGACCGGAATCGAACCCGGGATCTTTTAGTCCTCAGGCCGACGCTCTATCCACTGAGCCAAACCGGCTAGGGCTCTTTTTTTCCTTTTTATTAAATTTATTGTGCGTGCAAACGGGTGAACAAGATTCTACAGGTTTTAGGTGCACAATTCCAGAACGTTCGTCTGTACACGGTACTGTGTGTTCACACCCCCCTATGCCCACCCCCCCCACCCCCTCTCCCTGCTGTATTACCCCTCACTGGGTCACAATTGCCCCAAAACTTTGTGGCTTAAAATAATAAACATGTTTTCCCTCTCGGTTCTGGAGGGCTAGGCTTCTGAGAGGGGCTTTGCTGGCTACCACGTGGGCTTCTGCAGCTTCTTGGGACATGGCTTCCCCAGGAGTAAGGAAGAGAGAGAGAGAGAGAGAGAGAGAGAGAGAGAGAGAGAGAGAGAGAGAGAGAGAGAGAGGATCCTTAGAATCAGCTACCGCCTTGGTAGTGACCTGCCATGACTGTGCCTGCTATATTCTGTGGCTCACACAGACCAGCCTTGGACCACAGAGGGTGGGAGGGCTACCCGGGATGTGAGTACCAGGAGGCAGGCACCATCGGAGCCATCCTGGAGGCTGCCCTCCACGGAGGCGAGGAGGCGAGCTTGGGCGTTGTCATCCTGAGACCTGAGCTTCAGGCTCGTCTCCATCACTTACCATCTGTGTTTGGTCAGGCCATTGAGCCTCAGTTTCCCCCAGCTGACCATACCACTTCCTTTTTTTCTTTTTTTGTAGAGAGAGAGAGAGACGGAGGGAGAGGGAGAGGGAGAGAGAAATATTGATGAGAGAAGCATCAACATCAATCGGCTGCCTCTTGCACACTCCCTTCTGGGGATTGAGTCCACAACTCCAGCATGTGCCCTGACCGGGAATCGAACTGGCGACCTCTGGCTGGGCCAAACTACTTTCTTTATTGGGTGGCTGTGAGGGCTCAGTGACCTCAGGCACATACTGCTTTGCACATGGTCAGCCCATCGTGACTGCTTAGTAAACGAGGGGTGATGATCCCCTTCTCACAGAGGGCAGTCTGTTCTGTTCTGTGGCTCTACATGGCCTTGGCCCTGAGGGCCCTGATGTCTGAGTTCAGGCCTGGGTCCCGGCCCTGGGAACTGCTCGGAAGTCGTCAGCACAGCTCCCTGGCAGGCTGAGCCGGGACGGATTGGGCTCTAGGGTTTGCTGCAGCCACAACGGAGAGACAGGTGCTGGGAGATCTGGGAGGTGCAGAGAATCGGGAATGTGCTTTTTGGGGCTGGGTGGGTCGGGCTAGGGGCTCCCCCAGGAGATAGAGCCCTGGGTGGAGCAGGCCCAGTCAGGAGGGTCTGGGCCTGGTGGGGACTGTGCATATCAGGGTTGGGCTCCTCCCAGGTTTGGGGCACCCTTAGCCTTCATTCATTTGTTCCATCATTCATTCCTCCATACGTGGTCACCAGGTGGACCAGGCCCTGTGCTCTGGGGCCGGTGTTGGGGACACAGTGGCATCTGCCTTTGGGTAGCTGGTGGGGTCAGTGGGAATACTCCGTGGCACCC